CAGTAGGACTCCTGAACATGTGTTTGTACTGCTGGTCGTCGGGGACACATAAGTATAAGATTGCATTGCGAGGGAGGTCTCCACTTGGATTGGAAGCTGGGGTCAAGAGACACGAGTAGTCAGAGTGCATTCACTGTCACAGCTGTGCTTCAACATCGGAGGACCAGCCACAAGACGGTCATCAGCAGGACTTCCGACTGTGTGTGTGTGTGTGTGTGCGTTCATGTCATGTTGACTGTCAAGTTCCACAAACACCTGACGTTCACAGGATCCCTGATGGGAGCTGCAACAATGGGGTCGTGACCGTGACCTCCAGCAAGAGTCGGTCGCCTGTTTTTTCTGTCGTGTCGTCGTTTGCGACAGCGCTTGCGGGACCGACAGTCGCAGAAGACGGGGCAGCTTCGGTTTAGATTTGTTTGGAATAAGTTAAGTCAGTCAGTCAAGTCTTAATATACCGACTTAGTCAATGAAACTATGCAACACTTCTCATTGAGTTGCCATTAATGGACACATTCAGAATTCAGCTCTTCAAATGAGAACCTACCATGGCCGGTCCCGTCTTCAGCTCGAATCGACTCGGATCAGAGCAGAAACCGACGGTCGTGCAATGATGGCAAAACAAGTGCAGCTCATGCATCATGGGTGCCACCTCATTTGTTTACAGCAATGATGCATTTTCCCGTGGACAGGCTTTCGGCAACATCTTCATGACCTGCCACATCCCTGGATGCAGTGGGTGTTCCGGTATTTACCTGTCTACTTTTTGCTCCAAGGCGAGAGCTTCACATGGGGCCGGTCAGTGTCCCGCATGAGGCGGATTCGTGAGGTGTAATCATAAATAAATCAGACCGATGGACAGACCACCGACGTGGCAGGCCGGCCCGGCGACGAGTCGGTCGTCCAGCACTAAGTCAACGTTTCATCTGAGGATCACAGAGCCAAGTCAAGATGCATTGTTTGGCACCTTGAGCCAGGCTAGCCGAGGCCATCGGGGGATCTCGTCAAAATGACAAGATCCCCCAATGGCCTCGGCTGAGCGACGGTCTGACACAGTCCAGGAGGACTGCTGGGTTTGATGCTTTGATTCACAAAGGTTCCAGTGCAGTTCACGCTTGTCCTTTTTAGAAATAATAGACAGAGCCCTATAAGTTTACCTATATCCCTTAGTAGGAATTAATTATTCAAGAAGGTCTACTAGCCGGTCTGTTCTGTTTATTCTTTCTGGGGGAAACCATGAACATGGATAATGCTGGTGCAGTTCAGGTGCAGTTGAGGTGCAGTTCAGGTGCAGTTCAGCGTTCGTGCTATTATAGATTGGTGCAGTTCAGGTGCAGTTCAGGTGCAGTTCAGGTGCAGTTCAGGTGTGGTGATGCTGCACAACCATATGTGAGGTATACAAATCATAAAATAGTAAAAGGTATGCTGTATTACACAAAAAAGACACGAATGAACTTACCAGGATCTCTGGTCTGGTCAGAGTAAGACTACTTGGCCGGTCCCTGCCCATAGCATCACACAGTTTTGGCTTAAATACATCGGCTCTAGTGATAGTGACAGTCACTATCTTGCAACATATATATATATATATATTAAGCCAAGGTGCTCCGATTGATCCATAAAGCTTCTCTGCCACATCTTGGCGACACCTGGTCAGGAAGTGTTGCCGGTCGAGCTCCTCGGGTGCTCTGGGAGGCATAGACCTGGATTGAAATTTTCAGTCCAGGTCTATCACCTCCCAGACCACCCAATCTAAATCTTCATGGCTCAGGGTACAGGCCTCAGTGTCGGTCAGCATTCAATAATGCTGGACACTGCTGTAATGATTGACTTAGCAACACCTGGTCAGGAAGTGTTGCCGGTCGAGGAGAGCTATCGACAGGTGTCCTCAACCCTTCGTCGGCACCGCTCAGCCAGTCGACTACGACTGGCTGAGTGGCGCCGACGAAGGGTTGAGGAGCTCCTTGGATGCTCTGGGAGGTCGGGCTCCTGTAGCAGTAACAGGTCCATGCCAATTTGAGATCCCAGTCACCTTAAGTATTGAGGTCCAGGCAGAAGCAGATCTACTTTCTTTGCCGGTGGTGTTCTCAGACACATGCGTGGGCAGTGTACTTTCGAAAGTGTTATGTGTGTGTTCGCTCAAGGTCTATCACCTCCCAGACCACCCAATGTAAATCTTCATGGCTCAGGGTACAGGCCTCAGTGTCGATCAGCATTCAATAATGCTGGACACTGCTGTAATGATTGACTTAGCAACACCTGGTCAGGAAGTGTTGCCGGTCGAGGAGAGCTACCGACAGGTGTCCTCAACCCTTCGTCGGCACCGCTCAGCCAGTCGAACTACGACTGGCTGAGTGGCGCCGACGAAGGGTTGAGGAGCTCCTTGGATGCTCTGGGAGGTCGGGCTCCTGTAGCAGTAACAGGTCCATGCCAATTTGAGATCCCAGTCACCTTAAGTATTGAGGTCCAGACAGAAGCAGATCTACTTTCCTTGCCGGTGGTGTTCTCAGACACATGCGTGGGCAGCGTGCTTTGGATACTGTAACTAGCTATGACTTCATGATTCATATTTGCCAAGGTCGGTCGCCTACCATCACCATCTGGTCAGACACCATAGAACTGGACTCCAGCTCTATGATGTCTGATCAGCGGGTGCCGGTTGGCCTGGTCCTCATTGGTTACCTGCAGTTGTTGGGCACAGTCACAGTCGGTCTATGTCTATGATGCCTGCCATGCCACAAAGCAATTTCAGCTTCACGAGACTTGCCGGCCCCACTCCCCGTCGCTATGGCCAAGACAGGTTATGTCGGACTGTCGGTCGACCAGTGGGAGCACTGGCTCTGGAACCCAGTTCCCGACGTCCAGGCCTATTTCTCCCCGTCGGTCGCTGTCTATAAGGCTATCGCTGGTGTCGGTCGCAGGTGCCTTGCTGCTGTGTTTCAGTTCATTTATCATGACCAGCGAGGATGCAGTAGTGTAGGTCGTCCTTAGTTCTGAACTGCCCGGTCGGTCAGGATGCAATACCAGCTTTCCGACACGGATCCCATTCCGGGGCCGATGTACCAACGGTCGAAGCACAAGGAGCAGGCCCATCGTGTTTCGGCTGGGGGCACAATCATGTGTGTTACTGATAACGCCGGTCGGGAAGATGAGGTCAAACTTCTGTTGACCCGGTTCGTGGTCGTGCTGGAAGTGCAGGTCGATGAGTTCCAACTGGCTATGGAACAAGGGTCGGTCAGACCATGCACCAACGACGGCTTCGTCGTGAGGAACCTCGACTTGTCGGTCGAGAAGCACCTCAAAGTCACACGCATGGACGCCCGCCTCGAGGTGGAGGCGTTGCCAAGTGACGTGCCGGTCGACAAGCCTGCTTTCGTGTTCTACAAGATCTCCGATGATGTGACGGAGCTGTCGGTCGTGAAGAAGCTGCTGGCCAACAGCATGAACAAGCCCCGAGGGCAAAAGCGGCCTTCCTCCACAGTCGGTCGGGGTGGCACTGGATATATGTATTTCAGTAACCCGACGAAGGCTGCGCTGATGTGTTGGCTGGCAGGTGGCGGCACGGCGGTCGATGTGCGGCTGAGCTACTATGGAGTGGGCATGCTTCCAGCTGGACTCCTTCACTATGATGAAAGCATGTCGCCGGTCTGTGTGCTTTGGTGGCATTCGATTCAGTGATGTTGCAGTTGCATGATTTCTAATCCTGCAGTTGCAATCTACAGCATAAGCTGTCTGCTCAGGACTACTACTACGCGCCGACGCTTCCCCAGATGGGCGTTGAGTCGGTCGCCGCGGAGTACAAGGTCATGGTTCAGTTCAGCAACAAGGTGCCGGTCGGTGACTTCGTGAAGTTAAAGAACCTCGAGACGCTGAAAGAATACATGTACCAGAACGATAAAGAGTTGGAGGAGCTGAACAGTCGGTCGTCAACTCTGCTCGCGATACAGAAGAAGCTGGTCGCAGAAATGGATGAGATGCTCGCCAAAGAGTCGGTCGTGGATCTGGCGGGCAAGACAACGGTGTCGGTCGAGGATCTGGCGGGCAAGACAAAGCAGCCACTCGTCATGGAGTCGGTCGAGGAAGATGTTGCAGGCAAGACAAAGCAGCCGCTCGTCATGGACCAGGTCGCTGAGTCTAGCTGATGTCCACCACGCCGGTCGAGTCAAAGGCCTTTTTCCTCACTCTAGCAGGCAGGCTGGCCCTGGCAGTTGTCGGTCAAATAATGACAGACCATCATGATCATGACGATAGTGTTTTCTGAATGCCAGATGCAGCCTGTCCTGCCAGCTGTCGGCCATGCCATGTGTGCATAGAGCCACAGTCGTCTGTCGGTTTCAGCAGCCAGCGAGACATGTGTTTAAAATGTGAAGCACGTGAGAGGGCATGCCAGTCGACTTAGTGTTCGAGATTGAGTGCAGCATACCTGACTTTGTTTGTTACCTGTTGGTTCTGTCATGTAGTCAAGTTGTTGACTTGGTAGCACAATGCATGCCAGCCTGGCGGTCCATGGTGCATTCCAGCGCATGGCACATGCTTTGGAATCCACTCTGGGCTGCATTTGGTTCGGAACCCCCAGGATCGGTTGCTAAGGCTTGTAGCCCCAAGTTACCAGTTCAGACATCGGTCGACAGCCCGAGCCAGAGATGACCTCCAAGGTTGAATACATGCCTTCACTAAGTTGAACCCAAAGGATGCTTTGCTAAGGCTTGTGGTCCTATCTTGGGGGTTAAAGTCGGTCTAGTGCTGCATCGTCCTAGGTCGGTCCCACTCTGACACATATGTTGCAGCACCTTAGCCGGTCGTGCATGCTCTTCCAGTTGAACCAGCAGAATAGGTTGCTAAGCCTTGTGGGCCTATCTTGTGGGTTCAACATCGGCAGGCCGGTCGATGATCTTGGAAGCACATCTCTGAGTGTCGGTCGTGCCGTTGCCTACCTGGAGTTTGGGCTTACAAGCCTTAGCAACCGATCCTCGGGGTTCCGAACCAAGTCGGCCGGTCGAGCCATGTCCAAGAAAGCAGGCACTCCTGCTTACGCGCCGGTCTACGTGGAGAGCAAGCTCTTAAAGCTTGACGACGTGTCGGTCGCCCATGATTCCGGCCATCGGGACGTCGATGAGGATCGTGTCCTGGAGTTGTATGAGAAGGTGATTTTGGCCGGTCGTTGGGGCCAGGCTTCGTTGTCCCGACCGAAGCTGAGGCCAGTCGAAAAGTTTATTTTCTCGTGCTTGGTAGTTCACTCTTGGGTTTCGCAGGTATGATCCTGCTGGTCGTCCTATGGCCGCATCTGATGGCCGGTCGAAGCTGGCAGATGGCAAGCACTGTATCGCAGCGTTGAAGATACTTGACGACGTGTAGTTTGTCGGTCCAATTCCACGTTCTGGTGTGCACTGGTTTGTCAGCTGGTCAGAAAAGAGTCGGTCGAAGTCCACGGTTTTCATTTCCCTTAATTTTAAATTACTTTCTGACCGAGGAAAGCTGCTGAGACGGTCGCTCAGTCCGATGATGCAACGCAGCTCGAGTGGTACACAGGTGAGATCAAGGACATTCTGACGGTCGGAATGCGTTTTGATTGCATCAAATTCTCGGATGATGATGAGGCCAGGGATGTGCAGTATGACTAGACACTCATGACGGTCACTAGTTACTCCTGTGTCAGGCGGCGGTCAAGCTCTTCTACACCATGGCCCATGAGCAGGAGGCCAACAAGTTGCGGACGACGTCGGTCGAGCACAAGATCAAACTTGTGCGTGCTTATGTCGCCAAAGTTCCTGGCGGTCTGATAAAGGACAGTCGGTCGACCACCTGTTTTTGTTGCTGGCCCTGAGTCTCATCTGTCAGGACGCCGAGAACGCCATGGTGGAAATTTTGGGCAAGTCACGCCGGTCAACAATCCACAACTGGTGCAAAGCGACTGCAGTGTTAAAAGAGCCGGTCCTGATCAAGCTGAAGGAGAAGCCCGACCTGCCACAGGGACTTGTTTTCACGAACAAGTACTTCGTCGGTCAAGGAGAAGAGACACGTAACTCGGCGGCATGCCATGCTGTTAGGTTTCCCTGCATTGTTGGTCGCGGAATGCAGTTGGCTCAGGCTTCCTCCTGGAACCCGAGCAGCAGATTGCTGCTCTGCAGCTTTTCTAAGACTTCTGTGACGGTCGCGGGACGGTCTCTTCCATACCGACCTTCATGTCTGACTTTTGTGCCCCAATGTTGAAGGCACAGTTGTGGTGTCAGTTGGTCATGAAGAAGTACTCGTCGGTCGTGAGCCGCCTACCAGCGTATGACCGCTGTCAGAAGATGCTGTGGAGTGAGCGTGGACGGTCGCGCATTTTGAGGCTTGCTAGCACTATGAACTATAACTGACATTCAGTGCCATGTCTCATTATTTTGGTGATGGGGTTGCCAAGGACCTGCATGCGTCTTGGCGTCGGTCTGTCTGGTGACCCGAAGATCGAGGGCAGTGGCATCCCTGAGTGTGTGTCGGTCGGAATCTGGCCGCTGGTCGTGCAGTGGATGAAGCCGAAAGTGCTGTGGATGCGGCCAAAGCAACGGTCACAGAGCACAAGCTGGTCGTTGAGGGGGGAGACGACGAGTCTGGGATCTTGGCTGACGACATCACGATGGAGGCCCCACTGGTGGAGAAGGATCCTGTTCTTGAAAAAGCTGAGGAGCTCGGCTTGTCGGTCCGCTCCAACATTCATCTGTTTCATGACATGAAGACCTTTGGTGATGGCTTCGTCGGTCTATGCCGGGCGACGACCCGTGGCGGCATTTACATCGATGAGGCCACGTCGAAGGCCAAGATCATTTTGGGGGACATGGCAGAGTTGTGGAAGGTCGTCACGTCGGTCGTAGATCGGCAATACGTGTCCATGGGCATCTTCTGTGGAAAGCGCCACGACTTAGTGACGTTGGTCGTGAACCTTGGATGGCACAGAGTTCTTTCTAGACTTGTCGGTCGACTGCTGTGCTCAGCGTTGCTTCGGCTCAAGTCCAAAACGGCCGGTCGACCTTCATGGGTCGAATCAGTAACAAAAGCCTCGGGCTGAAGAGGGTGGCAGGGCCCTATGCCCGTTACTGTGCGACGGTCGCCAGGACAGGGACGGTCGACCCTCCATTGAAGCGCCTTCGAGTCAAAACCTTCTTGAAAAACTTAGATCAGAGCCGGTCGCGATGGAAGCAGATGTCAAAAAAGGAGAAACAACCCTTTGTGGACGCGGCGGTCAAGGATCACAGAAAGCACAACGCCCTCAAGAGGGAGCTCGCTCATCCTCCAGTGGAAGTCGACTCGCCGGTCAGAGACCCGAAGCCTGAGAATGATAGTGACCAGCAGCCACCGGTCGATGAGAACCTCGTCAATGAATTGAGGTTCTCCTTTGAAGGCATGGCACTTTCCAGTCGGTCGACCCTGGGACAAGGCGCCCATGGCACAGTTTACCGCTGTGAAAACTTGATGGGAACGGAGTTCGCAGTGAAGCATCTTGGCTATTCATTTTATTATTAAGGTTCATGCGATTGAACAATCATGAATGAATGAACGAATGATGTCTTTGTCGACTTTGGGTTTAGTGCTGCATCTTGTCATGTCGAGGTTGCCGGTCGGCAGCAGGGACGTGAAGAGGGAGCTAGACGTTCTCCTCAGTCTACGCCACCCAGCCATCCTGCATTGTTATGGGCCAGTCATGTCGGTCGACGGAGGTCTCGTGGGCCTTCTTTTGGAGTATGTGCCGGTGACATTGGACGCTTGGCTGAAGACGCAGCCCAAGGCCGCAAAGTGCCCACACAAATGGCATCTGATGGTCGATCTTGCACATGGACTCCAGTATCTGCACTGTCACAAGCTTGTGCACTGTGATGTGAAGCCACAGAACATACTTGTCGGTCCTGCCCCCCATGTTCGAGCCCGCTGGGCGACTTCGGCCTCACTGAGCCGGTCGGGACAGCTGTCTATGGTGACGAGGTGTACTCTGCAGCGTACAGACCTCCGGAGCTTAGCGGGTCACAGGAACCCGGTCGTAGCTTTGCTGTAAGGGTGAGGTTGGCACCCACAGCTGATCTTTGGGCGGTCGGGTGTCTCTTGTTTGCGATCTTCACAACATCGACACTGTGTCATTTGTTTGTCACAGTGAAGGTGCTGTATGACATGTCCTTCATCAATTCCCGAATTGATAAGAACGTGCCGGTCGTCTCTGGCGCTCAAGAAGACATAAGAGCTTTCTTGAAAAAGCTGCCGAACGAGCGACAGCAGCTGAGGCTTTTCATTATTGCTGCAGAGGAGAAGTACAGACACCACGCTGGTCGTTGAACCGCCAGTCGTCGGGTGTCAAATTTCTGTGTGAAGGGGCATGCAGGAAGCCAAAAAAAGATTTAAAGCATCTGCAGTGGCAATCGTGGTCAGTGCAAGTTTTGGGGTGCGACAATCCAATTGGTCGGTCGATGCAACACTACAGCTAAGGAACCAGCTGCAGACGATGATCCCAAACCGTGAGGCGTACGTCATCACCTTCACTGCCGGTCCAGAACAGTCCCGGAATCGTCGACCGACTTACATGGTCTATTCACAGTCGGAGTTGTCGGTCTCTGCGAAGGAGGTGGTGCCGAGCCATGTGACTGTCAACAAATGCCGGTCATTTGCCTATGAGAAGTTACAGATGCGCTGCACCGACTACAATTGTGCCTTTGAATCAAATTAAAAGAATCCTTGAAACTAGACTAATGGCCCCACTGCCCACACTAACCCACACTCCTACTGAGGCAAGCTCAGGCCGTGCAAACCCATGACAGACATGCCGGCCCATCCCACAGAGGACCTTTGTGGGGGGCAGGGCGGCAGGTGCAGGTCAGGTGCAGTTCAGGTGCAGTTCAGGTGCAGTTCAGGTGATGAGGTTTTCTATATTGGTGCCATTCAGGTGCAGTTCAGGTGCAGTCCAGGTGCAGTTCAGGGTTTGATGTGGACGTCATCAATCACTTTACTGAATCTGGGAGGAGTTGCCGGTCAGTGACCAAGAGCAGCCAGAGGATAGCAAGACGTTGGACACCACAGAGGAAGCCGGTCCTGACACACAGGCGGTCGAAGCGTCCGTCGACAAGAAGTATCCTGTGGATTTGTGGTTGGTGGCCAAATGCTGGGATCACCATGCGTCGGTCGTGCGAGAAGTCTTCCGTGGTGATCAGTGCAGGTGGATGGCGGTCTCCACACGCACAGCCCATCCTTCCATCTTCGTTGGGGTCCAGTCGGTCGTCTCCACAGTCATAGGTATGGTTCGTGGTCCGGTCGAGCATCTTGCCGACAAAGCATGAAACGCGTGTCAACCAAAAGCTTTTCGCAGGAATGCATGTTAAGCTCAGGCACTCCATGGCACATGGCCGAGTCTTGCTCGACGACATGTGCACCGCCCTGAAACTGGATGAAGCTAGCCGGTCATTGAACTTGAAGCGCAAGGTGACAGACATCCCGTGTGTGCCGGTCTTTAACCCCTATGCAGCAGAGGGCTCAGTGTTCAAGCTGTTGGAGATTCCGGTCGAGAGCACCTGGCGAACTGGTGTTTTGGCTTGAGTTCTGACTGACCTTCATGTCATGCATTGATCGATTATGATAGGACGTGTGCAATTCCGAACTGAGGTATCAACAAGTCGGTTGCAAACTACAATGACATGGAGAAGAAATGCAACGATCTCACACATGAGGAGCTGGTCAAGTATGACCTGGGATTGTCGGTCATCGACGGTCATGTTGCACTCATCACGACTGTCCCTAAAAAGGAGGGGGACTTGATATGCACATGCAGTGCTTTGCATTTCGACAACATGGCAAGCCTCTTGTCGGTCGTGAACTCCGACAAAGTGAACCTCGCCAAGAATCCTGTGCTCAGGACGGACTGCGTCGGTTTGACAGAGGATCGCTCCTCGTCGGTCTGGTCACTGTTAATTGGGGCTGCTAGCCACGTCGCCCCGCTCAGTAAAGCCGCAAAGCGAGCAAACGCGGCCTTCAACTTTGACATCAGCCAGGGCGCCTCTGACGGTCTCATCGCATTGGTCGTCAAGACACGGCATGGGTGTGGCATTGCTGCAAAGTCGGTCGTGTCGGTCGACCTGGGTCCAGACTATGATCCGCCACCTGGCTGCGATAGTTAGGTTGCTGTCGAGTCCATTGCTTGCTGATGCAGCACGTTTATTATTACTCTGACAGGTCACAAGCCACGCCGGTCGAGCTCGCTGCCAGCAAGAAGCAGTTCATGGATAAGTGGTTTCAGGAGCCTGTGAATGAGCCGCCGGTCAAGGAAGAGACAACAGTGGAGCCAGCTGGCAAAAAAACCCGAACCTCAGAGGCCAAGGCCAAGCCTTCGCCGGTCGCACCGGCTCCGGTCACTCCGGCTCCCGCTACTGGTCCAGTGCCGGTCGACAAGCCAGCCCCGTCTGCTGCAGCTGAGACTTCGCCGCCGGTCGTCAAAGCTGATGTAACAGCCCCGGAGCCGGAGCTGAACCCTGCGTCGGTCGCCAATTTCATCGTGGGTGATGCCACGTTTCGCTTGGACTTGCAGAACTTGAGGATCCTTTTGCCGGTCGGAACCTCCACCAACAAGAGGCTGCCTCCAGGCACAATTGTGTACACTCTGGATTGCAGCGCCGGTCGTTTCCGCAAAAACTCCAGTGCTGTCGGTCTGGAGTACAAGCTGACCTCTTCGAAGGACAAGGTCATGGTCAATGGGAAGCAAGTGACGGTCGCAGACGCGGTCGCCAGCCTCAAGTCGAACTCCGTTTGGGAGCACATCCCGCCTTCCTTCACCCAAGGTTCCCTCCCATCGGCCGGTCTGAAACCTAACCAGCAGATGGTTTGGGTTCCAGGAGATGACGCGTCGGTCGTGATGGCCCAGCTCAACAAGGCCACGGATGCTTCTTGGAGGTGGGTGATGAAAAATGGCAGCAAAGGGAGTCTCACGCCGGTCAAAGCTTGCCTAGTGATCGACAAACAGCTGATCATTCCCGGCAAGCCGGGACATCTCGGCTTGCTTGTCGGTCGCGAAGTCGGTCACTGAAGTCGGTCGCTGACAACTATAACTATCCGCATGTTAAGTCTGCCATCGGGGATAACCCGTCGACAGAATTGTTTTCCCACTTCACGCGGATTTTTTGCTGATTCGTCGTCCGACGGTCGACTCTGCCATCGGGGATAACCCGTCGACACAATTGTGTGCACACTTTGTGGAGTTTTGCTGATTCGTCCGACGGTCGACTCTGCCATCGGGGATAACCCGTCGACAGAATTGTTTTGACACTTTGTGGAGTTTTGCTGATTCGTCCGACGGTCTGGGGCTCTGTGGCAGCATCAGAAAAATGGTTCATGGTGGAAGATGTGCCGATTCTGATTCTGATGATGACACCACAAATGTCATTTCACCCTGCTCAGGTTCTCTGTCCGATGACAGTGGAGAGCAGTTCCATCCCCGCTATTTGCCCAGAAGCTTTTCATTCAACTGGCAACACTTGCAGAGAGGACAATTCAAGAGCCAGTATCAGACTGGAGGTGCACAAAATGTTCTTGACTTCGCGCATCATGCCAGCCGGTCGCCAAGGCCTTGCCAGGGTCCCAGCATCCATCACATTGAGACTAAGAGCCGTATTGTGAGATGTGAAAGGTGAAGCTGAGAAAAGTGTTCTTGGACTTTGCACAGTTTCTCAGTCAGTCACCCAGCCAGGGCTTCCCAGTGTTTGTCAGACAGGCAACCGAAGTGCTTGATGCAACTGTGCCTGGACGTCATCTCATTCTCCAGAACTGACAGACATCAGGAATCAGTAAAGCAGTTTGGCCAGCACACCTCACCCAAAACGCAACCCATGAACCTTTGCTGGGGTAGAGTTGATCGCCATCCATAAGAGCCATGTCTGACGGAGCCATGTCTGACGAGGAGTTTGTGCCTTCTTTAAGGTCAGAAACCTCCGAGTCGGTCGCTTGCACACAAAACTTTGATTCCTCGTCAGCCGATGCTGCATCCGAACCCAGTGTTTCTGACAGCGAAGCCGAAATGCCGGTCGAAGATGAAGTCGACGGTCGCCTTTGGCGACCAGGGGAGAACTGTGGTACGTTCGTGGACAGACATGCTGCCTTGCAAGGCCAAGGCCAAGTTTTGTCGGTCAATGTCATGACCAACCTTCAGCGCTGCCCGAAAGACGTCTTGTCGGCCGTGATGAAATACATGCCGGTCAGGCTGGGTCTTCCAAATCCAATATTTTATAGGTTTATCAATTATCATCTGCAAAATTATTTCAGTTAACTAATTTAAGTAATTGATTCAATACAATAACTGCTGCCTGAAAGGAAGTTTGCTGGCAAATCACTGGTCGAAAGGGTAGCAGCAGCTCTATTGGGTTTGGGAACCACCAGCGTAGAACGATCCATGCAGAGCCGGTCGAAGCTTGAAGAGTTTGAACGCGAGAAGCTCAAAGAGAAAGAGAAGGAGGGTATACAAAGGAAACAGAAGGCCGTGTCGGTCGACAAGGAGCTGTCACTGGACACAGTAGTCGACATTTGCCTTTCCAACGCATCCGAAGGCCGGTCCTTCCTCTCTTTTGAAAGAGATGCCGAGAGGAACCGCCGGCGTGGAGTGCAATTGGGCCATTGGCCTTGCAGCCGGTCGTTCTGCCGCGAGGTGGAGTTCTATGCCGCCAGGGCATTGCAGAATTTGGATGCGATGGATTTTCAACGGCTGGTCGTTGGCCTAGGCATTCCCAGCGACTTCTGTGCTTTGCCGCCAGATTAGACAGTCGATGCTGCAACTGTGTGTGTGAATCAGTGATGTGGTTCATCTCACTAAGCAAGGTGTCATGTTGGACTCCATCTCCATTGGCAAAGAACAAATGCTGAAGCGGGACAATGTGTTGCTGGTCGGACTGTCGGTCGTGAGCCAAAGCACAGGCTTCCTCTTCATGTCGAAAGCATCATGGCACTAGCCGGTCACCTTTGTGTCTTCTATCTATTTTTTCACAGAATAAATTAACAACTAATAATTTGCCACAGGTCGTGCTTACACACCGATGGTTGGCGGGAAGACTTTGGGTGTCGGTGATCATGCAGGCCCACAATTGAAGAAGGTCGCGTTGGAGATTCTGGAGGAGCACCCTGCCCATTTTAGCAGCCGGTCACTGGCGGCATCTTTAGCCATGGTTGTCGGCGATGGCGCCAATGCCATGGGTGGTCGGTTGGCTCGGCACAAGAGCACAGCTTCGGCGGAACTGATATGGTCTGAAGTTTTCAATTCTGTTTGGGATGGAGACCCTGTGCCGGTCATGACGGACTGGGGCCTGATGCACCGTGAAGCATAGCTACAAAGCAATAGTTGTGATAATCAAACGATATGTTCAATTGTAATATGTACACACTGTTGGTCGAACTACGAAGGAACAAACCGCACTGGATCGGGCAATCAAGTCTGTCGATGCAGCTACAGAAGTTATGGACATCGTATCTGTTTTGGACAAGACCTTTTTCATGGGCGACGGTCGGGCCTTGCTGCGAGGAGTTTCGAAACAAATTGGTGAGCCGGTCGGCACCCTGGGAGCACCTGGCGGAACACAGATGTTTGTATTTTTCCGTTTGTCGCTTTTGAAGAATTTCAGGCCGGTCGTCACCGCTATGCATGCAAGACTGGCTTGGAAGCAGCAAAAGCACGGAGCCCGAAGTCTGAGAAATTTGATGGACGTCGGTCGCCGTTTGACAGACGTGAGCTTTGTGGTGTTCCTATCTTTCTTGGAAAACTTCATGCCGGTCGCCTTCGAAGCTTTTTCTCAGGTGGCCCAAAAGGCGGTCGAACCTTCAAAACTGCAAGCAAGTGCAGAGAGATCGCTGCAGTACGCCAGACGAGCAAGCACCTCCATCGACAGACTGAAGACCTACGTGATGGTCGCCACCTTGTTGCGCCAGCACTGTTCCAGCAAGCAGATCATGCAGTTTCTTGCAGCCCTTTGCTACACACCAGCTGGTCGCTTTTTGCCAAAATTTCTTCCTGGAATCATGAAGATAATGCATGTACTGCCGCCAGAGTTCTCGTCGGTTACATTGCACACCAGCAGAGAGCCGTCGGTCGAATACTATTGCTTGGGCCCACATTGCCAATGTTTGGGCAGGGAGAAATATTCTGAGACGAGGCCGAGGCCAGTTGTGAACTGGGATGGACCACGTGGAACCCGTGAGGCGTGACATGCTGATGTTTCTGGTCGGGCGGTCGGAGTTTTGGTGTTACTTCATTCATTCTCTTCGTCTGTCTCAGAGAGATGAAGCCCCTGCCGCCCAACCTTAAATCATTAAACATGAAACACACCCTTCAAGGTGCGTGTGCCGGTGTGGGCTGACGGTCGAGCTTCGTTGCAAGATGACTTCTACGCGCCACGTGTTCAGTTTCGTAGTCGAACACGGCAGCTTGGAAGACAAGAAGCTCGTCGATTTCGTCAACATTTGTGGGAGGATCGGACCGATGGTTGCGAACACGCAGAATACACTTGGGCACAGGCCGGTCGTTGTGTATGCAAATGGCGGTCGCGGTGTGTCATCCCAGAGAAGGTTTATATCGTGCACCATGATGTGATTCAAGCACTGGACAGTGCAAAGACGCTCGCCGGTCGTGCCACAGAGGAGATGTCGCAAATTCTCGGGCCGGTCGGTGTCAATGATGATGTCTTGCAGATCCGGTCCAATGCAATGATTGCGTTTGACTGGGAAGGGTTGATCGGCGGTCAAGCCCAACCTCGGCACGGAGATGCTTTCCTGAAACTGTATCAGGCACTCAGGCCGGTCCTAAGGCACACACTTTGGCCCACGGGCCCTGAGTTTCAAGGTGCCGAACATCGATGGGATTTGCCGGTCGAAGACATGAAGGCACAATATAGACTGTTCCTTTCTCGTGTTCTTGCAGCAGCATTTGGGAAGGACTGTCGGGTGCCGCCGGTCATCAGAGCAGAGGCTAAATCATGGTTTTCCGTTACTGCTTGCACTGTGCGGCCGGTCATGGTCTTCTCCGCTGTGGCGGCCATCGTGCAGCAGAAAATGCCCTATGCTTCAAGAGCTGGACAGCTGTATTGTGCGTCTGTCGTTTCACTTTGTTTGGGATCGTACCAACAGCAGCAGCTGCCTGTGTCTGCGTATGAGACTTTCCAGGTTGCCAGCGACGGTCGCTTGCAATATTCATTCAGTTGTAATTATTTATTAGTAAAGACATGATCAATTAATACAGGTTGGAGTGGAGTGTTCTGCATGATTGTTGGAAATGGAATGCAACAGCATTTGGTTTGTGTTTCCCTTATCATAGTTCTGAGGACTCGCGCAGGTCGGAAGTCTCACTGTAAACAGACGGAAACGCAGAAAGACAGGGGCGGTCATAGTTCCCACAAAGGGACTCGTGGCGGTGCTGCCACCGGTCTGCATTTCAGATTCAGCCTAGCCAAGATCCCAGACTTCCTTTGCTGACAATATATATGCGTCCATATCTATTGTCGGTCTGAGGAAGTCTGGTATCTTGGCTAAGCGCTTGGTGGTTGTGACCGAAATGAAGGTCTCGGTTGATTCTGTGGCAATCGCTAGATCCTTGGAAGCACATCCTTGGTTTACAGTTGGTCGATGCAGAACAGACCCAAACTGCTGGCATGTCGGTCGCTTGCATCATCGTACTCGGCTGCTGGCAGCACCTGAAGCTGCCATCGAGCGCCTGGGTTCCATAATGAATTACCAGTACGATGCCTGTGCTGGTCTTACCCCGGCACAGGCGGTCGATCGCCTGCTCTTGGATCTCTGGAAACACATAGTAAAGTATTTGTTTAGTTCTAGTGTTGATTCATCAATTATTCAATGTATTTTTGATTAGACAGAGAAAAACACGAGCCTGAAATTGCCTGTCTGAGGCCCAAGGTGGGCTGCACATGCTGGGCTCGGACCGCGATGAAATCCTCAAAGCTGCAGTCTGCCGGTCGATCATGTCGGTCCGCAAACGAGCCCGAGGAGGAGGACCCACTGAGCAGATCCGCCAGAAGAACAATGCTGTGCGTCTGT